CTGAATCAAGATATATACTAACTACATATTATTACTCTCACCCCTAAAACTTACAAACTAAAACTTATATTTCCATTACAAACTACAATGAATCATATTTGAACTTGATGTGGAATAGTATTGCCGGTAAAAATTGTCTTGTTTTTTACGGTATGTACAGAGTATGTGAACAACTGTAGGGCGGACGCCTCGGTCTGTATGGTATCAATCCATTCCACTTTAATATATGCACTAGGCAAATAAGTAATTTTTTTAAATATCGAACCCATCATCACAAACCACTTATAAGTTTTTAAATGTATCTAATCGCAACGGTTTAAAAGTTATCATCAACTTTTTATACACATTTGCGTAGTAATAAAGTGAGCTATTGTTTAACTGAAATAATCAAAGTCTATTTGCTATATTAAAATGTAAGGAAATTGTTTGATATTATTTTCTATTGCTTTTGTTAGAATTGGTTAATTATACATTATATTTAATTATTTGTTTAATTAATATGTCAGTAAATGAATTTATATTATAATTTAATACTTATTTAAAAGTCAATACTGTGTCCCATCGCCAACACAGGGCAATGGACAGTAGATTAACATGCAGAAAATGGACACTGTTTACCATGTGCTTGATTAATATGGTGTCCACAATAGTTATATTAATTCTGTCAGTAAAGGAATTCAATTCACCGCAAGACCACTATATCTGGAAAATCGCGGGACTCAATAAGGTAATCAATTATAACATAAATAGCACCTTGATAATGTGATCAATTAATTGTATTTCAAGCACACCGTCAAAATTATAATGATTAGCGCCTTCACGGTTGCAATTGTCACACAATTGGTGGGCATATGGGGCGCCTACAAGACAAACTACTGCGTGTGCATAATATACGGACTAATCATGATCATCGCTTTCATTGTCAGCGTTCTGCCGGCTCTATATACTGGCTATAATGCCATCTGGTTTCTCACCGGATGGTTCTTCCTGTGCAGTTGTTTTGCCACATCATTTGCGAGTGCGATCCGCCGGTGCCGCGCAACACGACCGGCCCTTATGGGCGCACAGTCACGGGCATTGCGGTGATAACAAAACCGTGTTGGCGGCGGGTGATAGCACATAGTCAACGGGGGCGTCAGAGGCATGCACTTGCGCCCTGGGGGCTGCGGTTTACAGTACATGTTGTCAGGTGCTCAGGCTCACTCTTCATACCAGGGCTATCAACAGCAGCCGCCGTCCTATTCACAGTCGGCATATGATAGCGGTTGTTATCCCACACCTAATCCTATGTCTAGTCAAACGTATGGCGAGTCTAAGCCCGAGCCATCAGCGCCTGCCTGGCCGTAGGCAATGAGTCGATAACATTTAATGTATTTATTTTGTTTATAAACATGTAAATTAGTGCTATTAAATTGTTGTGCTGTTAAATTTAATGTGATATAAATTATATAAAGTAAATTTTATTATTTATTATTTACTATACTGTATAGTTAATTACGGGGTGTGTTGAACAGTGTTTGTTACTACAATTAAAATTATTTAAATTTGTTATTCAATATATAATTAAATGTGATAAATTTAATAATAAAATAATAAAAATAAAATAATTAATTAAAAACTAATTCCTGGATTTAAAAAACTTATATATTAAACTAGTTTATAAATCTTATGTTTTAATTCTACGTGATTTAAGAAGTTTGACAACAAAAATAATTTACTCAGTTTTAGTAATGCACCTTGAGCTTGAATAAAGTGATGACACATAACTTATGTCACATAAGAACTGCAATTATTTGAGTAGTAGATTTACTGATAAGTTTATCTATTTATTACATAAGTAAAGTTATATTTGATGTTTAAAACCTTGTATAAATACAATTTTTTTTATAAGAATAGTTGATTTAAAAATAAATATTACAGTTATATCAGCACACAATTGAAAACATACTGTAAATGCTAATGAAAACTATACGAATAATGCCAATAAGATATCCGGGGAATATGTTTGTTAATAGTAACGAAATTAAGTGATTTATTAAATAATTTTTATACTTCATAAATCTCGTAGCAATTAAACAAGGAAAATATTTAATACTAATATAAGTTATGGTAACTATTAGTGACCCAGCACTATTATCTCTACCTGGAAACCATAATAGTTTTTGACATTTATATATACAGTAACACAATTCAAATGACAGATAAATGAATGCTAATAAAAAAAACACCTATTGATTTTCAGTGTTTCACAAGTTTTACCATAGTTTTTGTGGATTATTACAAGCAAGTTATATTAAATTAATCTCCTATGGATGCCAACAGCCGACACTCGCAACCAATGCGGGACAAAAGGTTTCGGTACACAAAGTGGTCGCTTTACTCGTGGTGTGGCATAACTCTGGTCACGACAGTTATAATCATGGCATTAGTGATACCGGCACTCAACATGTTGAACAGTTATTACTACAATTACGCCTCAGAGACTATTGTAATTAACACTATAATTACCATAGGTGTGGCATAACTCTGGTCACGACAGTTATAATCATGGCATTAGTGATACCGGCACTCAACATGTTGAACAGTTATTACTACAATTACGCCTCAGAGACTATTGTAATTAACACTATAATTACCATAATCATAATTGTATTACAAAATCTAACCTATATTATTATGTTTAGACGGCGGCCAAAGCTATCATAATTACAGTGGGAGTCGTCTGTATTATAAACCAATGTTTGGGCGTATATGCGGGTTATAAGGAGCACTTCCAACTGGCGCTGGGATACGGTGTGGTCTCAATACTGTTGACAGTGCTGTGCTTTGTCGGCGGTATACTGATTGGCGGTATTGGCTATTGGTATTTGATGATCCAGTTTGCTGTGTGCGCGGGTATAGGCTTTCAGTTTACCCGTGAGATACGCCGGTGCGATCTGAATGCTAATCTGGGCCATCAGGCCGTTTACGTCAACACAGGCCTACAGCCCAATGTAGTGTATCAGGTGCCCCCTCAACCCAACTATGTTATGGCCGCACCCGTACAACAAACCGGAGCTGTTTATATAACACCGACGCTGACAGCATCGCAGACAATGCACGCATCGGGCGGTCAAATGATTATTACAACCCCGACGTACGGCCCGACCTCTCAAATGGTAGCGTATCCAAACCCAAACCCCGGACCCTCATATGTTGACCCCATCCACACCCCTCCCACTTATACACAGTCTCAGGAAGATCTACGTATGTCGCAGGGAGGACTAGCTTTTCGCCCTGATCATCTAAATGAGCATAAATGATTGTAAATTAGTGCACTATTAAACACATCAACAATTATAAACTTGGGTTATTTATTATTTTCATATTTAAACATAATTATACATCTAATTCTTTATATTAAATATTTTAGATAAATTAAAATGATTAATTATGCGATTTTTGTACTTAATAAATTCTTATTTTTAAATATTTATGAACTTTCTTGCTGTAGTTGAAAATATCACGATAAAAACTCAAAATTATACCAAGGTTTGCTTCTAACTTGTACAGTAAATTGGCAGAAAAATATACAGTACATTGTATACTGTATTGAGTTGTGCTATTTTAAAAGTACATTGAATTTCAATTTACTAATGAAATTGCAAACATTTTGTATTATGTAAGATCCTCACAGTTAATATTATATACAACTGTACATACAGTTGTATATAACTTAATTGTATTTAACAATAGTAGTGTTAAAATATGTTTATATCACAACTTATCACTATCTGTAAAAATTTATCAAACTATTTACAGAACATCTATTTCTTAAGTCTTGTAGACCAGCACTCAATCAAATAAACATGGTGATAATCGTAAAACAGATAACACTGTAGAAATTTTCATTAGCTATTAATATATTATTTATTGCTTATAAATTATTATGCATAACTTACTACACATTTTAAAATAAATTTTAAAATAAATTATTTAAAAACAACAATTTTCCAACAAAGAAACAATTTATTTATTATTTATCATATAATGTTATGACCAGATACTTTATAAAATATCGTTGTATTTTATCATAGTACTTTAATACAACATAATTAAAGCTTGAAAGTAACGCCACTACACTTGACAGGTAATTAAGGGTATTATCAGTGTGCTAGGTAACCATAATAGATTTTCAGAACATCATTGAAATAATAGATTATCTGTTTAGCATTTCACAGTAAAGTATTCACCAAATGCAAATAACATAAAATCGCCCACTTCAATAATTTATTTACTGTATTATGAATTCTAGTTTCTTAATTGTAATAAATTAATTTAAAAATAATACTTCACTGTTACGTTAAACTAGTGCCAACAAATTGTTTTACAAGCTATTTGATATAATTCATCATGAATACTACCGTCACACCTGGTCAGCCTACGCCCATACGAGACAAACGGTTCCGGTACTCTCAATGGTCGCTCTACTCGTGGTGCGGTATATCACTGGTGGTGACCGTAATCCTTATGGCATTAATGATACCTGCTTATAACCTCATTATCGACGACTTCTCTCACTACTATCAGTGGTCTATCGATGCAGCTGTAATTGTTACCATTATGTATTTATTATATGAATTAATAGTATAAATTATAATAATTTCAGAAATCGGGCAGGGCCATTATTATAACAGTTGGAGTGCTCTGCATATTAGTTCAAGGCGTGGGCGTATACGGCGGCTATAAAGAGCACATGAAAATATGTTTGGGATATGGGGCCGCGTCGGTGGTGTTGACCATCATATCGCTTGTCGGTGCTATAATAACGGGAGGGGCGGGCTTCTGGTGGTTAATGATACAGTTCGCCATATGCGCGAGTGTGGCATTTCAATTCACCAGGGAGATACGCCGGGCCAACTGGAATACGGCTGTTGGCGCCCAACAAACCGTGTATATGAATAATGGCCATCAGCCCAATGTGGTGTATCCGATGCCCGGCCCTCAGCCAGCGTACGCTATGCCCAATCAAACCGTACAGCACCCGCCCGGTGCCGTCTATATAACACCAACACTGACGGCGCCCAATCAGTCAGGCCAAGTAGTTATGGGGAGTCCGACGTACGCCCCGTCACACGTGGTAGCGTTCCCGACGCCCGGCGCCTCATATGCAGGCCCGACATCGATGCCACCCAATTATACTGAGTCACAGGAAGATATTAGGGGAGCAACCGGTGCAGGACTAGGAGCTGAACACTCGTACACCGGGGCTAACAGTCATGCAAATGAGAACATTGATGGACGAAAAACAATGCCTCAATAAATGTTTACTCATTTATGTGTTTATAATTGAGTATTTGTTTAGCAAATTATGTTTTTATATTGTATTACACTTAATTACTTATACATGT